TAAAAATAAATCACACCACACTAGACTATTATATAGTAGGAGAAAATAATTGGTACAACATAGCAAGAGAAAATAATTGGTACAACAGGTATATCGAGTCCGGATCCTCTGCCATGGTCCTTGCAATGCCCCAAAACGACGTCGTTTTAGGGGTGAAAAACAAAAAATTAGTCCAGAACTAAAACTGAAAAGAAGAAAATCAGAAGAAGATGAGGAGAATGTACCACCGGCACCACTCTTTGGTGACTTCCACAGCCCGTCCCACCGTAACCATCACTCTTTGGCGCTCTTCCTTAATGTTCTTATTCTTCGTTTTCAACTCTACTTCATTTGAAATAGAGTCTTTCTCAATTTAAAGAGTGATAACATTTGTGGAAAAATAACTAAGTTTAATCTGAATATTTTTTCTTAGTAGATAGCAAAGCTAATATGCCTAAACAAATTATAAGCAGTGCAATCTTCTAAAAAAACTCTCTATATCCACATCTACTATTCTTTTATTGTTTCACACAATAACAATAAATCAACGTAGAAAAATCAAACCAAACACTCAACCAAACCAGTCCCAACAATTAGACCCCTCAATGCAAATCAAAAGCTAAGATTAGACCTTTCTTCTTCTTTAGCATCACCTGTGGCGGCGGCTAGGGTTTCCAGATCGCGCAATCTAGGGTTTTAGTGGCGAAGAAGAGAAATCGAGAGGGTGTCTTGCGGCGGTGGCAAGAAAGGAGATGGGTTGGGGAAGATCGCCATGACGATAGCGGCTGGCAGTTGGTGGGGAGAGAGAGAGAGAGAGAGAGAAGGGGGCGGTGGTGGCGCTAGGCGCCAGCTGTGAAGGTGGCAATAGTCGCATTGGTGAGGTCGCCGAAGAAGCTCACGCCGGTGGGTTTGCTAGTTTTAGAGAGAGAAAGGAGAAGAGGAAGAGAAAGAGAAAGAAGAAGGAAGTGAGATGGGGGAGGTGGGTTGCGGTTGTTGTGGGTTGCGACGACGAGGTGGCGCCAGTTATTGGAGGCAGGGAGGCGATGGAAAGTGTTTGGGATGGTAGTCGGCGGTGGTTGGCGTTGGAAAGAGATTGCCGATGAGTTTGCTAATTTGTTAAAAGTTCTATTTTTTTTTGTTTTTTTATTTTTACCTTCCAAAACGACGTCGGTTTGGGGCACTATAGGGACCATGGCAGAGGATCCAAACTCTAGGTACACCACGTCAACTTGATGAGTTGGAATGACAAATGTATTAAGTAATTAAATTCTTGTCTCTTGCATCAGCAAAAACCTTTGCTCTCCTATCTCCATCAACTTTTTTTTTCTTTTTCATATGTGGTTTTCCTCTAATTTCAAATATGAGATTTTCATAGAAAACACATTCACCTACTACGTTCTTTCCCTTTCTAAGATTTTTAATTTACAATATTCAGCTAATTGAAGGGTTTTTGTTAATATGGTTTCAATGTCTCTGATAGGGAGGGGAAAAAAAAAGATTATAAAAAAAAGTTTGTCAAAATTCATTGTGTTTCTTAAGAAGGAGAAGAAAAAAATTAAAAAAATAGTTCGTCGGAATCCATGGTGTCTCTGGAGAGGAATGAGACAAAAAATTCGTCGACAATCCATTGTGTGCAATTATAATTGTAAATAACTATTTTTTAAAAAAAATTCAAAGACAATTTGAAAATCTCTTTTTCCCATGACAAAAGCGTATACGACCCAAATAAAATTTTATTTTAGTGAGATTGATTTTAAGCGATAGCAATTTACCAACTCAACAAGCATTAGTGATGGCTATAAAAATGTTGTTAAATTTTTTTAAAATAGTTTTTACTATTTTTTTGTTGGCAACTTCTTGTTTGAAATTTTTTTTTACTAACAATCCATTGTCGGAGAAGGAGATTAAAAAATTAGTTTGCCAGAATTCGTAAGTCTTGTCGGAGAATAAGAAGAAAGAAAAGAGATTAAAAAAAAAGGCCAAAATGATACAGACCTCCACAAACACCCCGCCCCCACGCACACGTGTCAGAGAGATAGGGAAAAAAAAAAACACATGACCAATCACAATCATTTGGAGGTCATGGGGATCCTCCAAAATGGGTCACAATCATTTGGGGGTCATATGGGGCCTCCAAAATGGGTCACAAGTATTTTTCAAAAAAAAGTAATTGGAATCCATAGTGTTGTAGAAGAAAGAGAAAGCAAAAACTAGGGTTGTTCACCATCTTCTCTGCGATCTCAACGTCACCTTCACTCAAACCATTTCGTTGTTTAAACCACCACAAGCGTGAGATGAGAGAGATGAGAGGGAAAGGCTCTTTGATTGAAGTGATGAGAGAGATGATAACTATAGATGAGAGAGAAGACAAACACTTTTTGATTTTGAAAAATCTATAACCTATATAAAAAGAATGTAAGAATGATATAACATATGGGGCGTGTTTGATTGGGGGGATTGGAGGGGGGACTATCCACTATTTGGATTACAATCCAAATAGTGTTCCTTATCCGCCGTTTGATTTTTTTTTAGTCCGCCGGACATGGAGTCCGGCGGACATGGAGTCCGGCCGGACTCCATGTCCCCCATATGGGGGACTATTGTGTCCTAGGGGGGGTGGGATAGAATGTGGGGAACTATTCACTGTTGGGATTAGATGCAAAAATGACCATTTGGACCCTCTACTATTTAATTATGTATTATATTTAATAAAATTCAATAAAATTTAAATGTCTCAATTTAAAAATAAAATAATTTTATTTAACTTTTTATTGATGTTTTATTTATTTAAATTTTTAAAATAATTTTTTTTAGATATTTTATTGATGTTTTATTTTAAAATTTTGTTTATAATTTATTTAATTTCATTATTTAAATTTTAATATGTGTTTTATTTAAAATTTATTTAAAATTTTAATTAAAAAAATAATATAAATTTTTTATACAGGTTATACAGTATTTTATTAAATCAAATTTAGTGGTTATTTATTTATTTAATTGTGTAAAAAAATTAATTTATTTAATTGTGTAAATAAACAAACACAGTAAAGTTTTGCATGTAAAAAAAATAATGATTTGTGATACAGTAATGATTTAAAACAAATTTTATTGATATTTTATTTATTTATTTATTTAATTTAAAAAAATGAATTTATTTAATTAAAAATAATTAAAATATTAAAGATATGTTTAATATTGCTATTACTTAGTAAACAATTGAAAAAGGGTAAAATAGTCTTTTGTTCATTTATCCTATCCAGTCCGTCCAACCAAACGTTGGATTCACTGAAAATAGTCCTATCCAGACATCTAATCCCATGAAAAAACAAACACAGGATACATATCCAATCCGACCAAATAGTCCGGGGGATTCACAGTCCCAGGACTCAAGTCCGATAGATTCTAATCCCCCTTTTCCAGTCCGTCCATGGGGTGTGTTTGATTGGGGGATAAGGGGGGGACTATCCACTGTTTGGACTCCATGTCCAGCCTCCCTCCTTATCCGTCGTTTGATTTTTTTTTAGTCCGGCGGACTCCATGTCCGGCCGGACTCCATGTCCCCCATATGGGGGACTATCCTGTCCTGGGGGGGTGGGACAGAAAGTGGGGGACTAATCACTGTTTGGATTATATGCGAAAATGACCATTTTGACCCTCTACTATTTAATTATGTATTATATTTAATAAAATTCAATAAAATTTAAATGTCTCAATTTAAAAAAAAATAATTTTATTTAACTTTTTATTAATGTTTTATTTATTTAATTTTTTTAAATAATTTTTTATAGATATTTTATTGATGTTTTATTTTAAAATTTTGTTTATGTTTTATTTAATTTCATTGTTTAAATTTAATAGATGTTTTAATAGATGTTTTATTTAAACAATTAAATGTTTAATTTCAACAATAAATAATTTCATTTATTTAAATTATGTTTTATTTAAACATTTAAATATTTGTACATCAACATGTTTATTAAATTATTTCAACATCTGTACATCAACATGTATATTTATTTAACATCTATTAAATTATGTTTTAATACGTCAACATTTGATTACATTTACATTTGTTAATTGTTAATTACATCAACATTTGTTAATTGTTTAAACATAATCTATACATCAACATTTATTTAATTGTTAATTGTTAATTGTTTAAACATAATTTGTACATCAAAATAATTTCAATGTTAATTGTTTAAATAAAAATTTAAACATTTAACCATTAGTATGTTTAATTTCAACAATAAATTTTTATTTGTTTAAATAAAAATAATCTATACCAGTCAAATTTTTTTATCAATATTAGTATGTTTAAATATCTTTAAACAAAATTTAACCATTAGTATGTTTAATGTTTACTAAAAATAATTAAAATATTAAAGATATGTTTAATATTGCTGTTACTTAGTAAACAATTGAAAAAGGGTAAAATAGTCTTTTGTTCATTTATCCTATCCAGTCCGTCCAACCAAACGTTGGATTCACTGAAAATAGTCCTATCCAGACATCTAATCCCATGAAAAAACAAACACAGGATACATATCCAATCCGACCAAATAGTCCAGGAGATTCACAGTCCCAGGACTCAAGTTCGATGGATTTTAATCCCCCTTTTCCAGTCCGTCCAATCAAACACACCCATGGTGTAATGTTGGGGCTTCTTAGTGCACGTCTGTGGCTTCTTTGGTTTGCAAAGCAGATTTGGGCTTGTTACGCGGCCTTCAACTTAGCCACACACACAACCGTCCTGTTTGGTGCACCTTAAAAGCTGCTTATTTCAACTTTTAGCTTAATTTAAGCTATTTTGATATGTTTAGTTTAGCTTAGCTTATAACTTATAACTTATAGCTTTTTGGAAGTCAGAAATGAGCTTATTCTTTAAATGGGACAGGAGATACTTAATTTATAAGTCAAAAATCAACTTATATTCATAGTTATAAATTATAAACTGTTTAAATATAAACTATAAATACTTTCCTACCGCTCTACCAAACAGAACCTCTACCAAACAGAACCAACAATAGAAACAATCAAATTCCATCATTCTTCCTACAAATTCCGAGTTCCTTTCTGCTGCTACTACAGATTTTCCCAAGGTTTCCTGTAGAGATTTTTTTCGCTGCTGTTTGCTTCATTTCCAATACCGTTCCTCGTAGAAATTTCCCAAAACGGTGGTCTGCTGTTTGCCTATTTCCCAAAGCTCCTTCCTGCCAAATTTTGTTGCTGATTTAGGGTTACTCACGTGGAATTCAGATTAGCCACGCCGACAATGAAGAAGAAAACAAATGTTACCCCTTTGAACAGCAGGGGATTTTGTTTTTCATGCACATGGGGTTTCTCACAAGATATATATATATATATACATATCCTTTGGATGGAATTGCTGTTATGCGAAGGAGGATATCTTTTTCATCTAACTCCTGGGCATATTTTATCAACAATCGAGGTTTGTATATATATAGGTATATACTAATAAAACCCATATGCAGCTTTCTTCATTTCTAACGCTTTGCAACAGCCAAATTGAACCGCTTGACCTCTGTTTGCTGGCTCAATGGTTTCTCCAAGAATTCTGAATGTGCTACAAACGAAAGCGGTGGAGACTCAAGCTTCAGCATGTGGCTGTTGCCTCTTCTCTGCCTTCTACCTTGTTTGAAAGAAATTGCACAAATATGTGTATGTATTCCAAATGATTGTAAGAGAAGAGGTAAAATTGATCTCTAAGGTGTGGCTATGGTTTTGTCCCAAAATCTGTAGATATAATACAGATTTCAAATTGTGGGAATTGGTTGGATCTCTAGATTGGACAAGCGGTGTGCCCATGTGCTTTGTATCAGATGCTCAGATGTAGAAAATTATATATATACAGCTCTTCATGCTACAGTTAGGTGTCAGCTGCAGCAAACCAAAAAATCTGGTATGTTCTCCTCTGTCTCATCTTATCTTCAATGATGTATTTGATTATGTTTTCTGCCATACATTCATACTCTTGTTTTATTCATATTTGGTTCCCTTTAAAATTTGCCTACCGTGTGTTTGCCAATATATCTAAACCATAAAAAATTTCATAATAGGGCAAAATATAATAAATTAGCATTAACCGTACCTGGTAATTGCCATAAGAAAATTCCATTGGTTAGTAATCTAGGTATCTGCATTGATCCGCACTACTCATCACTTATTATTGGAATTTTTTTTTTTTTTTTTGGGAGATATTCATATATTTGTTGTTGGGATGCCTATTGTGTTTCTTTATGGTTGAGATGTTTTCATGCCTACACTGAGATTGATTGAAAATGGGCATAACCATGATTTATTGAAATCAATTATATATCCTACTATCTGATTCCCAGGCAAATAGCAGTGATATAGCTGGCCATATGTTATCTTCGTGAAATTGTATAATAGAATTTGGAAGATTATTTTTCGGGATAAGTGCGTAGGGATTTATTTGATGAAAACAAGGGCAAATTGAAGTTTTAAGTAGCTGAATTGTAGGAATGGAGAGTGAGAACAACAGTTGCATGTTATTTTCTCATTCTCCGATGAATGGCTTTCTTACATCTGATTTTTTTTTTTTTTTTTTTTGTAGCTCGAAAAACGACGAGCAATGAAATCGTTGCCTTTTATTGCCTGGCTTGACTATTATTGCATTAGAATTGAAAGCTAATGCGATTCAAGATTTAGTGATTCTTGGTAATCAACAAACACTATGGCGTAGTTCTGAATGATCCTGCTGGAGTGCCACTGTCAACTATATACAGTTTTTATTGACTTTGTGAGCAGATAATTTCTTAAACCACTTCACTAACCTTTGTTCTTCAAACATCCAGGGTGTAGTAGGGCTCACCACATGAGTCCTAATTCTAAATCAGTTGTTGATTTCATAGAAGGTTCATCAAGGGTTCATTTTACCTGGATTTCACTTGGATGGATTGGAGCAAAGAAATTCAGAGGTGGAGCAATCAGCAGCTGAACATGTGCATAAATAACCTTTTGTCATTGGTGAGTTTAGGCACATCATAGATTTTTTCTTTTTCTTTTTTTTATAAATATCATAGTAGATCATTTTAATCATTCCCTCATATTGTCTTGTTCATTGCGCTACATAATGAATTTTTTTATTTGAATGTTGAAAATTGAGATGTTAGTCTATTCTCTTATACGATTTGCACCCCCTTGGTACCTTTTAGCATTATCTATTCTGTTGATTTTGGAGATCTCTCTCTCACCATTGGTACACCTCTTTCCCACTCTTTCTCTCTCCATACACACATATATACAAGCACACACATGGGTGTGTGTGTGGGACTTGATTCTTCTTGGTTTATGGATATTTGTAGTTGGTTCTTCAATAAACATGGTTTCAATTCTGAGTTTATAACAATTTTGAGTAGAACATTTGAAAATTTTGATTGAAGGTTTGTGGGTTTAGTTTCTATGTTGTTAGTTTTAAGGTGAATTTAACTGGACATAAACAAGGGAATCAAATTTGATTGCTCTGTTTTTGGGTTGGCTAATAATGGAAGTACACCTCATGCCTGTGTAATGGGTCTTAGGCATTTTTTCATAATGGTGCTGAGGTTCGTCGCTGGAAAATTGTTGTTAAGAGCAACCCCTAAAAAGAAAAGAAAAGAACCGAAAAGAATGGAAAGGAAATAATAATGTATGTCGTATTTCTATTGCTTGACATGATTGTTGGGCCATATATTATGTAGAGACTTCATACGACTTAGAATGTTATTACAATTTGTAAATTCCATTTTGGTGATTTGGTTTTGGATGACCTAGATGTTCAGCATCAGCAATGCAAAGCTTATGTACACTCAGAGTTGCATTTCGCTAATTTGCAGAATTAAGCAGGACAGTAGATTTCAGGGGGCTTTAGCATTGGCATCAGTAGCAATATGCTTTCTAATTGTGTAGGTAGGCTTTGCTATCTTAATGGGCACTTTACTGATATAGAATATGCAATGTATCCTTGATACACTTGGCATTCTCTAGATGTTACCTTTTATTGGATCAGTAGTCTCAGCAGTGAACATCCTCTATGCCTCACAATTTTTTATCCACTTGTGTTTTTTGAACTTCCAAACAGCAATTTGGCTTAGAAATGTAGTTTCTTTTTGCTTGTTTAGCTAATATAGTTTTCTTGTGATAATGGAAATGATATAAACTGAAAAATCAATGTGCACTTTATTTTATTTTTTTTTGATGGGCTTTACTCATTTTTTATTTGACTTCATTAAATATTGAGCTTAAAGTCCTTGCTATGACCATTTCCACATGTGGATTTCAAGATCAAGCTGCTAGCAGTTGGTGGGACACGGGTAATTAACATAGATGACTTGTTATTTGGAACTATTTTATTTATTCAATGTGGAAAATTTCTTGGATCCCAATAGTATTTCCCCCTCATACATGTGATAAATTTTTTAGCTTTTTCTTGGATGTTTTTGTTATTTTGGGGCTCGAAACGAAAGAAAGCCTATAAATGGTGGTTTTTCAGCTTTCTTACACAATACTTAAATGAATTTTTGAATTTTACAAATTGTCCTTGAGCAACATAATAAAAAATGTGGTTAGGTAATCTAATGTTCCATAAACGATTTTTTGAGCAGTTTTTAACACGTGAAATGGCTAATACAGTTGCTAAAATAGCTACTTTCTAATACCAAAATCCTACGGCTGCCTTTATGAAAACTTTAGATAAAAAAATAACTGCTAAAGTGTTTGTGCAAGTTCAAGTGGTTTCGGAGTTGTGGAAGGAGAGCCCTTAAATTATATATTGACATGTATCTATCTTTCAAAACCGAAACACAAACAAAAACAACAATTTAGAAAAGTTTTTTTCTGGACAAGCTTTACTAAACATATTTTATTCAAACATATATTATTCAATATTCAGATACGAGACTATTAAATTTTTTGGTTTGCAGCTAGACAGGAGAGGTTTGGAACATTGATAAGCTCTTACTATAGAGGTGCACATGGAATTATTCTCGGTAAGCTATTTACAAATGCAGAAAATTTGCATTCCAGTGTCATTAATGTGGTAGGTGTACTGTTGATAGTATATTTTTGACAGTATTTCACATGGAATAGTTCTCTGATTTGTTTTTTGAGTAACACATGAATGGGCACCTGCTTTTTCTTACCATTTCAATCAATTTAAATAGTTTTAATTGTTGATGTTTTGTTGTCATCTTTTATCCGCCTAATGTTTAAGTAACCACTTTTATGTTTACTTTTGTTTTACTTTATGATGTAACAGTGATGCAAACCCACGCACAAAACGCCTGGGGCCAACTAGTAAAGTGAAGAGAAGAGCTGGAGAGAGAAATAAGCAACCCACGAGACTCTTTGAAAGATGTGAGGAGGCTCTTTGAATGATGTGATATAATAAAAGGGAAGCACTGTGATAGAGGGTTTCTCATCAATTGGGCTGTAAACAATTCGACTCCAGTTGAATTTGGGCTTGGCTTAATGAGTAATGAGGTTTGAATTTCACTTGGGTTGATAAGATGTTTTTAATATTATTTAATATATAAATAAAAATAAACTAGTCAAGTTTATTTGAATTCAAGTTTAATTCGTTTATTAAACGAGTTGAGCTGAGTCCTTAACAAATCGAATCGAGTATGTTCGTAAATAATTCAATTCATTTATAACCTTACTCATCAATAACTCTACCAAAGCATTTATTACAACGTATAAAATATGTATCTCTAGAAGAAGTGATGTGACCCTACACGTATAAAATTAGATTTTGGATTGGTTTTGAAATAACTTTTTTAATTTGTTTTTTTGATTTTTTACTAATTTAATAGTATTTTGAGATTTTTTTTTTTTTTTTTTTTTTTTTGGCTTTTTTTTCCTTTTAATTTTTTTTTAAAATTAAATTTCTAGATTCAGCTCGATAAGACGAATCAGAAAATTATAATTTTTTTAAAAAAAATAGAAAAGACAAAATAAGTCAAATAAACAAAAAAAAAATTGTTGCTTATTTTCGTTTTTAGTGATTTTTTTCTAGAATTTTTTTTAAAAAATATATATACTTTTTAAATTCGTCTTGACAAGGTGGACGAGAGAACTAAATGATGTTGATATAATTTTGACCCAAAAAAAAAATACTAAAGACGAGAGATTCAAAAAAAGGGCGATTTTCTTTTTTCTTTTTTTTTTTTTTTGCCAAAATGGTTTTAGCCTCGCTAAATTAGTTCCGTTTAGAAAAGACATTTTTTATTTTTTTTTTTTTTATTTTTTTTTTGAAAAAAAAATAAAATAATTATGATTTGAATATAATATTATTTAATTAATTTATTTAATTTATTTTATCTTTTTATATTTTTTTTAATCTTAAACTCAACCCACTTGCTAAATGGCAGCTTTAACTATTTCAGTCGGTTGGGCTTTAATCCGGTGCTATGCTTTGAATCCAATGGGCCCTTTTTTTTTTTTTTTTTTTTTTTTTTTTTTTTTTTTTTTTTTTTTTTGGGTTGCACACTCGTTTCCGACCGAGTAACCTAGATAACTCGACCATTATGTGTTGGGTTGGTTCGGGTCGACCGGGTTGGAAGAATTTATGAACAACCTCCCGAGCCTTGTGTTTATATTGATAGGTCAAGACTGATCAAAAATTTATGAAAGTTTTCTATTAAAATGGGGTAAATTATAAACACATCCCCTGAGATTTATTTAAATTACAAATTATTCTCTGTAATTCTAGAAATTACATTATACTTCCTAAAATTTCTAATTTTATAGCAAATAGATTCTTTTATTAATAAATTACCAAGTTAATTAATAATTTTTAATAATGTTAAAATTTTATTTCAATTAATAATTCAAATGATTTTATTATATAGGTGAACAGTTAAAAATTGTACTTTTTTCAATTAATTCTGTTAAATGAAAAATTTTGATAAGAAATATTTGTAATTTTTTAAATCACAAGAAGCAATTCTTATTTTAAGCAAATCGTAAGAAATTTACCTTAAAATGGGTGATGATGTGGTCGTGAGTCTTGGGCTGTAGGGTGTTGGAAGTGTTTTGAGAGAGAGAAATCTTTTGTCAAACGTCAAAAATCATAAGTGAATGTATTTATATACATGTCATATTATATATGGAATGTGATTCTACATCACCATCAACGATGCGGTATGGCCATGATGAGAAATACTCTCCATATGGCAGGGCTTGGTTTTGCTGTGGTTTATAATTGTTCGGTTAGTTCTGGTCGATGAAATGGCACCAACACCACCTTCATTATCATTTGCTAAACCAGCAAATACCATCATCTACTTTTTCCACATTTCTGAGAAAGATTTGATCAGTTTGATAAGGTTAATACATCAAATCAATTATTCAAATTGTATTTGAAATTGACAATACTAATCTGAAATATATTTGGTTAAGAGTTCAAAATTAATCAAAAAACTTCGTATATGAAATATACTTGTTACATTAATTTTTTTTTCCCCATCTATTTCAACTCAATCTTGTTAAAATTACAAACAACATAGCTGTAGCCTATGTATATGTAAACAAAGGACCACAAAGGTAAGAAAAACAACAAAAAAGACAACGACAGAAACCTATCTGGTGTCACATTGTGTGGTGATGGTTACTGCAAGCTGAAGGGTTTTGCTGGTGGGTTGTGTGGACAAAATATGAAAAGTACGCAAACTGTAATTAATATTGGAGAAATTGCAGAAAAAGTGGAATAGTCTTAAAATAATTACATTATATGTAAATATTTTTTTTGGTACAAGTTTGACGGACAAGAAATATTTGCACCATATATAAAAAAAAGACGTGCACTATTGCACAGGAGACTGGCACCACTATAAAAATGAGATTATTTTTACACTGTTTAACTCAAATGCAATTTTTCCATTTGTATATTTTTGTTTTTTGTTGTTTTTTGAATATTTTGATTCACAATCATGCATTATTTGTACATCCATTCAGAATTAATGCATTTCTTCATAAATAAGTATGAGCAAGTGGAAAGATAACAAAATTTAAATCTTGCTGAACCTTAGTTTCTAACGGGCGAAAATGCTAGCCTTTTTAAACGTTACATTTTAGTTGTACCCATTACTTAATTATTCACCCAAAAAAAAGCCCATCACTTAATTGGTTATGAAAATATTTTCTTATGAATGAAAAGATTGTGGGGTGTCTATGACCAATTTATTTTTTGTCATTCAGATTCACCATTTGAATCTTGTAAATCTGAATACAATGATAACATATTGTGTGTTTTATACTATTGTTTTTTCAAATCATGCAATTGGTGGGAGGTACATGAAATTGAGAGACAAAAACAAGTTCTGGAAACAAACAATGCCTCTATTTTTTGTTAGGAAAAAAAAAATTACTGAACATTAAAACCGAAATAGGTACTTACTGTAATTCCCAAAACTGAGCATCCGGTGGTCTTTTATAATTCATAAAAGTTATATGCATGGGAGCCCCGCCATTGATGGGTACTTGAGGTTTTGTAATCATATGGTGGTGATCATATATTTGTGGAATCAACAGGTACATAAATATGTTTGTGTGTATATAGCTATTTGTATGTATAAATAACAATCATCATAAATATATAATGTTAATCCTTCACTAATTGTAATAAACTTTTTGAAATTAGTTCATACGGAGCGTTTGCTTTAGTTTTAAATGGAACTTCCGCAATTAATAGCAAATGCACTTAATTACTAGGCTACTACTATCTACTTCCATATTTTCCAACTATGATGATAAATGCATATTTTTTTATTTTCAAATTTTAACCACACCAAAGGCTTAATTTGTATCTTTTGGGTTACACTAAGAAATTAGCTTAGCCTGAAATAGTGAAAACGTCTACATAATTGTATTACATTAAAAAAAAAAAAAAAAAAAACAGTATGAACATTCCTTGCATTATTAGCTGTTATGCATAATCCAAGACTTACCACCCACAAGAAAGAGAGCATTTAATTCCGAATGGACGATGTTGGAAGCATTTTCATAATGTGAGATTTGTTATTTGTATCCGTTGTTATAAGTTTCTAATTTGAGTTAAAATTCATCAATTAAGCTATATTTGAACTAAACTTGCCAATGTATTTTTTTTTATTGATTTCAAAACTTCAACGAATCTTTGATATGCTATAGTAATTACAGTATATTGTCTTCATTTGGATGTAGGTTAACTTTTTAACTTTTTGAATATTTTAACCTGAAATTAAAAAGCTTCATTTGAGTTGTATATTTTTTAGATAACACAACAATAGAGAGGGCCTTCATTTGCGAATCTTCTGGCATGTCACTTGTAGAATACTTCAGATACCCCTTCATTTTACAATACGTAACCCCCCTTTTAATATTGGAATTTTTAAGTCGATACTTCACCATCCATGGCACCTGTTTGTCGTTAATTGAACAATATCCATTCCCATAATAAACTAACTCGCATTGAATTTTTTAGTTTTTTTTAATTTTGTGAGAGAAAAAATAAAATTTTGGATGTGATATTTTATCTTACTAGCTTTTTAACTTGTTTTGGACTATTTTGAGAAGATGATTAAAAGTCATGTTTCAGCTTTTTAATCCATTTTGAGTCGCATCATCTCTCACACTATTACATTTTTTTTTAAAAAAAGTCAAAATATCAGTTTTTAACAATCTTCTTAAAACAATCCTTGGTCTTTTTTTAACTAAACTAGTCAAAAAAAAATCTCATGCCAAACATAGCCCTTAGCAGTTGTCGGCCATGCAATTGATATTGGAAATCTTGACAGATGAGTTAACTCAAGTATTTACAAAAATTATAGCTTTACGTATCAATTGTTGTATCAATTAGTGTATTAACAGATGATGTGGTATAATTTTAAAAAATTTAAATATTTGAAATTTATATAATGATTGAGGTCAATAATAATATCATAATATATATTGATACATTAATTAGTATACTAATTAAGGCATATAATACCACCGAAAATTAAAATTCTAATCTCCTTACACACCATCCTAGCCTTTTTGGGTCTCATCCCATCATCTTCTTCCCCTTCGTTTAGATCTCAAAGCCGTGAGATTCTATTATCTCCCATACTTTTTCTTTCTAGCTCACGCAAAAGAGAAACAAGACTAACAAAAAAAAAATTCTTTTTTTTTTGCTTCACTATAAAAAAACAGTTAGGTAAATTACAAACACGTCTTCTGAGATTTACTTAAATTATAAATTATTTTTATGATTCTAAAAATTACATTATACCCCATAAGATTTCTAATTTTATAACAAATATGTGTTTTATTAATAAATCATCAAGTTAATTAATAACTTTAATAATGTTAAAATTTTATTTTAATTAATAATTCATATAATTTTATTACTGTATAGGTGAACAATTATAAATTTCACTTTTTTAATTAATTCTGTTAAATAAAAAATTTCTAACATTGAGGTATTTGTAATTTTCTAAACCACAATAGACAATTCGGATTTTAGACAAATTTAAGAATGAC